ATGCCTCTGGCTGCAGCTCCAGGCAACACAAGAAAGCCACTCCTACAGCATCCTTGATAGGAGGCCACCTACTTTGCCTTAAAAATTCCTCCTAAGCAAAAGTTGGCCAACAAGTCATACTGTAAGGAACTTCTCCTTAATGGTTTGCCAAAATCCCTCCCTCCTCATTTTTCATATCAGAGCCCAGTGTTTTGGATCCAAATACTTTGAACAAGAGCAAAGAAATTTGCACCACTGACAACCTTTCAAGTATAGTTGAAGTAGGCAATTGTTTCATCTTGCAATTGTCACTTCTCAGGGCTAGACAAGCCCAGATCTTTCAGTATTTCCTCGCAGGACTAGATCTTCAGGGTATGTTCATTGCCCTCTTTGAAATAAATCTGTGGCATTTTGGCATTAAGCATTGATGCTACTGGAAACATACCAGTTTTTCAATATCCTTCTTAAATCACTGTGTCCAGAAGTGAACACAGAAGACTTCAGCAACAGTAATGTGCCCAAAGACTAGCCAGCATTATGTTGACTCAGTCACACACCCTGCGTAGAATGTTTATTTGGCGCCGGTTTGGTTTAGATTAGAAGCAAGTTGAAAGCTATTTGAATTTTTTTTTGCATATCTGTTTTGCATGGAAAGTTGTCCGCTGCATCTCACAATATTATGGCTTTACGTAATTATGATAATTTAGAATTATTATGGTACTGTTGGATTTATTGCTCCTAACATCACCTTTCAATAACTATGGGCGAACCTACGGTGCGGCGTGGAATCACGTGACCTTTGGAAATGGCACAGGTTACTCTGAAGGAAGAGATTTTAAGATGTTGATTTCGCATCGCTTCGCCGGGAACGCTAGAAGGCAATGCTATTCGACTGCTTGCAATGAGAGCCATAGACCAGGAGGAGGCACCCAAAGCTTGGATGCATCGAAAGCAAAACCCGCCGGGAGTGATGTTCCTGGCATCTCGCCGCTGAAGGCGCTGATCCGCCCTCGCCCTCGGGTTTGCACTTCGTGCAGCTCGCGCTCCAGCCACGAGGTGGCCCCGCGCGCTCACGGGGAAGAACGGCGAATGTAGCAATCGGGCAGCAATACACCTAGGACGTTGCTTATTGGCCCGTCGTGGAGGACCAATGGCCGTGCAGCCCAGCCCGTCGTCTCTTTTAGATTCCTCCGACCTGGCCAATGGGAGCTGCCTGGGTGCGGCCTCATCGCCAATAAAAAAGAAAAGAAAAAGTGGCCGTCACTCAGCCAATTGGAGTTGAGGTAGGTACAATGCGTCGCGAAAAGCCGAGCAGAAGCTGGGGGGCGGGACTTTGGGTCGCGAAAGCCAATAGGGCACGGAGGAGGAGATAAAGGGAGGGGTGGAGGCAGTCGAGGCCAGAGACACGTACGGCTCGGCAAGGAAGGGAAGGCTCGTGTCGTAGTTGCGACGGAAGACCTTTTTGGCAGCAGGTTGGAAACCGCGCCGCCCTTTGCTTTGAGGCCTACACTTCTCATTCCGTCTCGGTCGGAAGCCTCGGGCTGCCCTGTCTCTGGAGTCCCCGTTGGCTCTCACGGGGGGGGGGTCCTTTCGAGGGCTCGGTGGTCCCTATTCCTGGACCTGTCCCTCCCCCCCTTCGGGAGGGAGCCCTCCTCCCCCCATCTTGGCGCCAGGCCC